GCCGCCGCGAAAATAGGCTTAGCGGAAAATCGATATTAAGGTGATGAGCTCGCGTATTCGGTCGCTGCTCGAAACGTGATGTCTTTATTGTTTTTTCTTACGTATTTATAGTGAAGGAACTCGAAGGCTCGGGATATTGCGAAATCTGTGCGTGTATTTTTTTTTTAAATTGACCCGTTACTATCGATGATACTTATGATATTAGAATCGATTATCAATTTAGTGACAATATGTAAATAGTAAGGAAAGCTAAAATTACAAACATTTTAGACACAAAATATTTTGTAAATTGAAATGTATTTAAGATTTTATAATTTAATTTTTAAAACGAAATTTTAAACTTAAGACTTGTTTACTAAAGAATTCGACAATGACAGATAAATATAGTGTATTATAAAAAACAAATTGGTAAAAATATATAAATTTGCGTAAATACTGGAGTTCACAGCTCATTTTGGGTTAAGTGATTGCTGGAGCCGTTAGATGTACTAACGTGAATGCCGTCACCTACCTTGAGATATGAGATCGAAATTTCGATCGTATTGTAAAATGGCTGTTACACTTTTCAAACCAGTGTGCTTAGTGCGAGTTTTTTAACGCGTAAAAGTGAACTCAAATTTGTATGCAATTGTAACAGCGCCCCTAGCGACGAATGTAGGCAAAAGCTCGATACAAATTTGAGTTAACTTTTACCGTATCGAGAACGTTAAAAAACTCGCACTAAGCACACAGGACATATGATTACTTCGCGACAGAAATCGAACCTTTTCTCGCGGGTTCCTTTTTTTAGGAGTTACACTAGCTTTAACGTGTAGGCGTGCTCACGGGACTCAGCCTGTCGGATTTGATAGCACGAGCCCCAGCAAGGACAGTGCTTCGCTAAATCTACCACCGGATCAGAACCGCGATCTATTGAGAAGATCCAGCGAGAAACTCAGTGGACTATGAATGAATGATGAATGAATGATTTATTTTATTTCAGACAACAATAAGTCCATATGTGTACATAGTATCATTGAAACATACTTAAAATTAACAAAACCAATCAAATAAAAAAGATACATTTATTAAAAGTAGTTATCAGTTGAATACATTTCAAATATTCCATTCCACTGATACTTACTTCGAACCAACCATTATTATTATTATTTAGTCCGCAAGTGAACCATGGTACAATGGTTCAAGTACCGACAGTCATACTATGTCTGTGGGTACTTAGCGTAGGTACTTAGCGGGTTGCCAATACGCCCCACAAATCGACTATCATTTCTTTGTATTTTCACGAAAATTACCGCTTTTTGCAACGTAAACTCTTGTGAGAATCCTTACGTACAAATTTCTTTCTAGATTAAACACTAAAATAATTCGAGTTCATAAGTCGAGTTATTATGGTACAGAGGGCCGCTTCAAATAAATTCAAAAAGCGCGTTACAACGAGATAGTTTCTTTGTAATGAGTTTCCTTAGTGAAGGCTATAATTCAAAACTTTTGTCCGCTCGCGTTCTCTTCGAGCGCTCGGGATGTTCCATACAAAATTTTACAGTAAATTAAACAAGCTAAACGATAAGTGTTTTCAAACTGGCCTTATACAAGATTGTTGGGATCTTATTGTCCTCGGTCAAAACCCCTCAGACTATCGTTTGAAGCATAAAATTATATTTTTTTTCTTTTATTTTTTCATTGCATAGATGGGTGGACGAGCTCAAAGCCCAACTGGTGGTAAGTGGTTACCGGAGCCCATAGACATCTATAATATTATTATGATTGTTTCTTTCGCATTAATATATGTAAATGAATTTGAAATGGTATACCTTATGATGAGAACATCTTATATAAAATTTAATGAATCAGTGTATTCAAATAAACATTGTTTTTTTTTTTATTGCCCTTGTAGGCAGACGAGCATACGGCCCACCTGATAGTGAGTGGTTACCGTCACCCATGGACTTCAGCAATGCCAGGAGCAGAGCCAAGCCGCTGCCTACTGCAGACTAATTCGGACCGGAACTTGTTTCCATGGCGTTCACAAGAAATTATTCAGAATCTTATTCTTCTGTTAGTATTCTATTAGTTGCTTATCTTACACGCTTTAAAAAATAAAATTATATAGTTGTTATTTTGCATATTGAATTCATAATGAATATTTATTTCATGTTAGTGGGTTACCGAAATAATGGCTCGGGCTCTTTGGTTTGGCTTCTGGCTAATACCCAATGCGAAGTTTGCATACGATCGTTTCCAATAAAACCATTGTGATTTAATAAATTTATAGGCTGAGCCAAGCCGCTGCCTACCGCTTAATACTCTCCACAAGCCTCGTTTGAAGAAGGACATGTCATAGCGCTCGGGAAACACTGTGGAGGGGAGCTCATTCCATAGCCGGATGGTACGTGGCAAAAAAGATCTCTGGAAACGCACTGTGGATGACCGCAGTGGCTCCAGTTAGTATGGATGAACTCTACTCCGGTGGCGATGTGATAAAAAAATAAAAAATAAAACCTTTTTTTTATTGTTTAGCACATAAATATCAGCAACGTAAATACCGGTGAGTTGTAAGTCTCAATTAGAAGACAGGTGCGAAGAAATTCGGGGCCAATAAACACATTGATGTACTTTTATAAACGTCCCACCCTATAAACTGCAACGCAAGATTCCTAACTAAATTGAAGATCACATTTCTACGTGAATTTTGAGTCGGGAATCGTGTGGGAGTTGCTTACGGAGTCATTAATCAATCCGGGGAGAGGGTTCAGCCAAATCAATCATCGGCTCTCATTTCACACTGATTTACACGTTCTTCGTGGCTGATATGTGTCCGGGGCAAACACAGATTTAGATGTGTGAATCACTAACATCACCATCACATTACATTTTTAACCCATAGACACAGCCCACTGAGTTTCTCGCCGGATCTTCTCAGTGAATCGCGTTTCCGATCCTGTGGTAGATTCTGCGAAGCACTGCTCTTGCTAGGGCCAGTATTAGCAACACTCCCGGTTTGAGCCCCGTGAGCTCACCTACACGTCAAGGAGAAGCTGAAATAGCCTCTCAAGGCTATCAGCATAGGTAGGGAAAAAAATATACGTTTTGTATACATCAGAACACGCTAAACCCAAAAAACTACCCAGCTAGTTTTCAGATGAGTTTCACTAGAGACCGGCTATGATAACATCGGTTAAACATTCCCTCTGGATCAGACATACAAAAGTCTTTGAATGTAGAAAATTAAAAGATCTCTCAATTTCCATAACAATCTCCAATGACATATTATACACCACAGAATATTTTAGCATTTCAATGTCTTAAAGCATTTCAAAGTTGTAGATAACTCAAATTGAATTTAAGAAATTATAATTTACGTTAATAATAAATTTTATAAAATCACGAACATACAAACTGAATGTAGGATTCGATTCGAATTAAATTGATAACATTTAAAATATATTTTTTCTTGTTCTGTATGTATTGGCCATTTTGATATGCATCACAACTGAAAAAACTTCATTTGAATAAATCGTTTAGAGCTTTGATTCGTTACAAATTTAAAGAAATAACAGTAATTTACACGTAAGTACGTGTTATTTAAAATGTTTGTTTCTTAACTTATACAATCTATACTAATATATAAATCTACAGTGGTTTTACGAATGTTCCGTTATAACTACTGAACAATGCATCCGATTGACTTAAAACTTGGTATTCATTTAGAAAATACATGTACTTAATGGATAGGTTAATATTTATATGAGTGTTGCACTCCCTACGCCAGTTGCGGGGGCGTTCATGATGAGAATCTTTGTGGGGGTGAGAAATAATAATGTTAAATGCCCAGCGAAGCGGACAGGTACAGCTAGTATATATTATATATTATATGAAAAAGCGAGTAAACAATCCAATGTCGCTGGTATCATCGTGTAGTACATATTATGGTGATAAATTAACTTCCTTTTGCATGTCATCGGAGAAGGGTTTATGATTACGTTTCACCGGCCTCTTCTCATTCTTGTACTTAGTTTCCGCCCCACCGATGTCCTCAAAACGAGAAAGATTTAAAATAATCAATAGCAGGCAGTTTTGTTCGTGGTTTGGTTTGGTTTGGCGCAGGCATTGGTTCTGCGTCTGGAATTACCCTTGTCCAGTTCCAAAACTGGTGGTAGGACCTCTTGAGTCCGCACGGGTAGGTACTACCACCCTGCCTATTTCTGCCGTGAAGCAGTAATGCGTTTCGGATTGAAGGGTGCGGTAGCCGTTGTAACTATAATAAGACCTTAGAACTTATATCTCAAGGTGGGTGGCGCATTTACGTTGTAGATGTCTATGGGCTCCAGTAACCACTTAACACCAGGTGGGCTGTGAGCTCGTCCACCCATCTATGCAAAAAAAAATGCCAAATCCATTAAAATTTAGTTTCGATTACAATTGGCTGATTAGCAAAGAACTTTGCAAATTATATGTTTCGACTTGACTTACTGTTCAAACGTTATAACTAGCAAATTAATGGTTGCATTAAAAAGATCTATGTAATAGTCATAAATTTAAGTACATTCAGTAATATCCTAGTCCCACAGTAGTTTAATATCACATGTTTAATGATAAATAGCAATCGATTAGTTTGGAAACACAAAATGTGAGATGAACATGCGAAATTCATGTTCGCGCGTCATATTCATATCAACTTATATTGTACGAAGTATTGAAATTGGGTGTTTTCGATGGCTTATCTGAAATGGGCCTACCTCTGGGCATTTCATTAAAACTTCAGGCGCACTCCTGACCGCTCTTATCGCGTTCAAGCACCGGAACCATTTCGCGGCACATTTCTGTAAATAAGTAATACATGACTCTTTTTATTGTACTCGAAAAAGGAAAGAAATATCCATATATGACACGAGTTACTTAATGACTTATATTCTTCACAAATTAACAGTAGGTCTTTATGGGCCAATAAATGCATTATGACTACGTATTTTCTAATGACTTTTTTGTTTTCCTTGTTTCAGATAATTTGAAAAGAGGCACGACATAACAATATTAATATATCCCAAGTAATAATTAGACTACCGGAAAAATAATTCGATTAGCACACAAAGCGCCTTCAATCAATATCTCAATTACTTTAGTTAGAATAAATTAAGTAGGTAATTAGTGTAGGTTCACAAGTGCCAATCGAAGGGTCGTCAGACGTGCATCCGGAGCCACGTCTAACGAGGGTGAGGTTAATACGTGTGGTCGCGCTCGATGCGTGCGTGTGAGGCGCGCGTCGGACCGAGGGCGTGAGAGAGTGGCGCGCCGTGCGCGTGGTACCGGCAAGATTGAGGTGGTGGGGGGGTGCGGTTGGGGTAGGCGCGCGCGCGTGCGGCCGCTGCACGCGCTGGGTCGCGCGGCCGGCATGCTGGCCTCGCAGCGCTCGCAATCCTGCAACGAAGAGGGCGCGTTCTTCGGAGCGCGTGCGTTGCGCCGGCCGCGAGGCAAAGGCAGTGGAAGTCCAACCTGCTAGGGGTACGCCATGTCGCTGCGCAGCCTGCACCGGCGGCTTTCGTCCGCAAACAACACGTACGTATTTAATAGATTTTCTTTAATGCTACCTAGCCTTATTTTAGACTAGCAACCCGCTCTCGCTTCGATTCGGAAACATTAAATTTTATTATTGATAGCTGAGCCCCGCGATGTTACCCGCGGTTATTGTCGTACTGCGGGCGACGCCCGGGGCGAAGCTAGTCTAAAAAAATCGTCAAAATCGGTCCAGTCGTTCCAGAGTTTAGCCGAAACAAACAGGCAGACAGGCTGACAGACAAAAATTGTAAAAAATGTTATTTTGGTGTATGTATATATGCCGTATACATATTCATATGCATGTAGTAAAAAGCGGTTATTTCAATATTATTATACTAACAGACACTCTAATTTTATTTATATGTATGTATAAAAAACGTCTTATACGTTCCAATATATAAATCAATAATCGCGGGCAAATAGGCAGCGGCTTGGCTCTGCCCCTGGCATTGCTGACGTCCATGAGCGACGATAACCACTTACCATCAGGTGGGCCGTATGCTCGTCTGCCTACAAAGGCAATAAAAAAAAAACAGTCTGAAATCAGCATTCGCTGTACTATGGAAACCAGAGAAAAACTTCCAATTTGTTTCTGTAATTAGGGCTTTGACGACATTTCATAGTCATACGCTTAAATCTTGTAGCGATTTTATAACCAAATTAAATTAAATATCACATGAATTTACTTTAAAAATCTTTCTATAACTCATGAACATTGACCATTGTCATGATTTCTGTTTGAACGCGTACCTACATTGTTTTATAGCAATACGACTGAATATTTATTTTATTAAATTTGCATAGTATGGATTTGGGTTCGTGATATAGGCTCTTTTAGTTACAAATATCATCCCCTCAATTATGTTTTGCTTACCAAATTCTTCTCCGGCCTCTGTCTCGTCCCTTATATCCCCTGATTTTCACAGAACAGTAGAGGGTATTGTTAGTATTCTAGGGTGCGGCTATTCAGACATCGGTTCCCGGCCCCAGTGACCACTGAATGCCAGGTACACCAGAGCTCCACTGGCCATCTCATATAATGAAAAAATACGAAACCTAAGAAGTCCTTGGCATGTACTTGAGAATCTTTTCAGATGCACATATTGCTTTTTCGCATTAAAAGTGTACAATTTACAAAAATATTCGAAATTGAGTTAATATGCGGAAACATTTAATTTTGGTATCTCCAGTATTTTTCTCATAAATACTGTCAAAAGAACGTAGTTTAGTTTTAGTTTTTTTAGTTTACCCATGTTTTGACTACTATTAACCAAATTAATACAATATCATTTTATCTTACTTTAAAAGACAGATAATGTAACTGGTAAAAAATAAAAAAAATATGTTGCAAATATGATTAATATTAAAAATATTACATGTTAATTTTTAAATTTATTTTTAATTTAATTTTTAAAACACTCTCCTCTAAAATTAGCAAGTTTTGAGATTATACAGTTTTAATGCGAGAAGACGATATATCATTCTGATTGACGCCGTAATTAACGGACTGGACGGTTAATGTTTGGCACAACACGATGACTTGTGGTTGAATGCCATCCCAGTTCGCTGTTGAACTCATCAAAATTCATTTGAACCAAGATAGACGTGGCCACCGTGGCTGTCGTGAAATGAATGAAATAGGTATACTCATTTGTTAATCGTGTCTCGTTCTACGTTGGTACTATGTTTTAAAGGTTAAAGTACTATGACTCGATGTTACTATTTTTTTTTTATTGCTTAGCTTGGTGGACGAGCTCACAGCCCACCTGGTGTTAAGTGGTAACTGGAGCCCACAGACATCTACGACGTAAATGCGCCACCCACCTTGAGATATAAGTTCTAAGGTATCAGTATAGTTACGACGGCTGCCCCACCCTTCAAACCGAAACGCATTACTGCTTCACGGCAGAAATAGGCAGGGCGGTGGTACCTACCCGTGCGGACTCACAAGAGGTCCTACCACCAGTAAGTTACTATCAAAATACCGTCTCTAACACGTACTATAAGCTGCGGTTGTTAAAAAAGTTATAATTCCATGCAATCCACATAAACCGACTACGAACAAATCGACGAATAAGTATCAATAATGTCTATCTCAATTTTTGGCTGTGTTTACTTTTTTAAGTCAATAGTTTTAAAGTCCAATTTGGCATAGACTGTTCAAGCAATTACCTCAATATTCACAGTACTTCCTAAGTTATTTGCCATGGAAATACCACCTATGTTACGAGCGCGTAATTCTTTTGCCAATATTGTCTACCTTGGTATGTGACAATATTAAGATAATTTAAGTTTACTTAAAAGTTTCGAGCATTTATTTACCCTTTTTTTTTTGGATAGACACTATTGATTCTTAACCGTCGATATAAATCATAAATAAACACACAAATAATCATTATTCAATAGTAGTAGTTCGATAGTAGATAACATTTGTATAAATAAACAGTATGTACATCCTTCGTTTTTTTACAATTTGTATTACAATTTTTACTTGAAAGTCAACAAACTTCCCCTAATACAATATTCATAAATAAAGATCACAAACAAACATGGATCCGAAAGTGGAACGCTGCTATAAATGCCTACTTAATAGACCACAGGAAGTCGACAGCTCTGTAGAATGACGTAGCCACTGATCGTAGCAATAAAATATTTATACAATTTTTAACCTTATTCGTTACGAAATCAGAGTTTACATTTGACTAGAATCGATTCCTGGTCTTCAGCCAGATCGTAAGGGCAACGCCGCAAAGTGGATTTCAAACCGCCGAGAATTTATATGCGAGCAACTTTACATACGTACGTAAACTAATATTGTTTTAACCTAGTTAGAGGTAATTAGGGGATCGGTGTTTAAGCGTTCCTTTTTGTTAGGACTCTTGCATCGGACAGTGAATGATTACACGTTTGGATTAGTTTTGTTACTGTTAAATCTATACTAATAAAGAGGAAAGATTTGTTTGTTTGTTTGTATTGAATAGGCTCCGAAACTACTGAACCGATTTAAAAAATTCTTTCACTGTTTGGAAGCTACACTATTCCCGAGTAACATAGGCGATATATAAATCTTTTTTCCAAAAAATTTGGGATCCTTATTAAAACTCTAATAATATAACCCAAGCTGTAAAAAAATTTCCTAAAATATTATTTACATCGCGTGCCCTACGAAAACTATTGATGATAGAATAAAATAATGTACTACGACTTTGTAGAAAACATTATTATTTACAAAAAGTGTCGCCACAGCATATGTTTAACTATTATAGTTATATCGCAATAAGTGTTTTTTTATTTAAAAAAATAAAACAACGTCAAATATCCTTGAAATTTTTGTTATAGTCCCGAGCGGAGCCGGAGCGGGCCGCTAGTAGTAAATAAACCCATATCGTATCGATAAATTAAATACAGTATCAGAACTTAAGTCGGTAAACGGTGTCTTGTAATGATTAAAAGTACTTTTACTGTTCAATTTCGTGTTTTTTCTTACAGTCTAACTATACTTGACTTAGTAATATACTTGAGACCTTAGAACTTATATCTCAAGGTGGGTGGGGCATTTACGTTGTGGATTTCTATGGGCTCCAGTAACCACTTAACACCAGGTGGGCTATGAGCTCGTCCATCCATTTAAGCAATAAAAAAAAAGTCAGTCGACCGTGACCACGGAAATTGTAAAGTCGAACTTCGAATCGTCGGAAATAGTATAACCGTAAAAATACTTTTTATTATATCTAAGACTCGCGAAAACCGAAAACCAAATACTAGTGATTTAAGCTATTGTGATTTCTCTCTCTCTCTCTTCGATCGGTCCCTCACTGCTGAGGATCGTGACTTCGTCCGATTTCGTCAACCAACTGTCTCCATCGATCCCACCCTGCATTTAAGCTATTGTTATTCTAAGTTTTCTTTTTTACAAAACCTTTTTATTTTTCGAGTCAAAAAGGTACTTGACGAAGTTTAGCTGCTTTATTTAAAGCCGATATAGCCAAGAGCAGCCTTGCCCGGATAAGTATCTAATACCAGTTAATTTATCAAAATATTAATCTTAGACTAGGTGGCTTAGAATAGCAATTAAAGATGACAGGATTTTTTGAGTTTTAAACAGGCACACTTCAGTTGCCGACCAGCTTTTACTGGTGATAAGGCGTACTGTCAGCCTACAGCATGAGCCTTACTATTTGTTCTCCAAAGAAGTAATGAATTCCGGAATGAAGAGTGGAACAAATGTTGTTCAAATTAAATAAAAATTGAGACTCGTTCACTTCACTCCGGACGGGCCGTGAGATTATCTGATCATAAATGTAAATTAAAAATATACGATGGACCGTGAGTTTATCTTTGGAACTACGGTAAAACAGATTAACCCTGACTTAATCAGTGAATTTAAATATTTCGATTTATTCCAGATTATTATAATACCTTAACACAACATACTTTTAGCTATTTCTGTGTTCTGCTCAGTCGTATGCACTCTTGGCAGAGTGGTCGTGGTCACCATTTCGGATGGTGGTGCGTTTCACCAGATGTCGCCATTCCTAGCGTATCGCGATCCTTCTTGTGCACTCGTTAAAGTTATGTATTTAATAAATAACAACCTTAAGATGTCAGCGAATAAAATATTGGTCATGTGCGACAACGAAAACTAAGGAAATTGTTATCTTGCCAAACAATTCTTAGCAGATCGGAAACAAAATTAAAAAAAAAAGATCCCTAAAAGTTATTTTCGTATTCCGTATCGAAGAAACCAAAAAGCTCAAAAACTTTTGAACAAAAAGATAATTATTCGTCTTCCCTTTTCTGGACCTTCTCGAAACTTCGCAAAGGCAAAATCTTCAGAGATGTGTCAAAGACTAAATGAACTTAATGTTTTTACAACAGACATTCTGTTTTGTAAAGCTGAAGTGATTTCGGCAGTTTCTCCGTGGATTATAAAAATCCTCTTCATAAAATATTCTTCTTTGTCCTGACAATTATGAACGCAACTAACAAAGAAATCATTG